TATATATATATATATATATACATCACTTGTTCATGTGTATATTCAAAAGTAGATATTCAGAATAACAAAAAAACCAAATATTATATGAGCTATTGTGAATGCTGATATTGACCAGGTTGGTCATACACACTAGCTATGCATGTGGAGGTGACGGCTATCGGACTTGCCAGATTTGCCACTTTGAAGGACTTATAGATCTCATCTGTCAAGCATATTAGTGTTTACGTTGGCTCCTCGAGCTGAACATGTTGATAAATAATTGTTATTCAAGTGAGCTTATTTGGCCAAGTTTACCATGCTCCTTGAGCTCATCCGCACCAAGCGAGCTTTTCGATCAAGCTCGTATGCATTCATTAAGCTATAACATCGTTCATTGATTATTCTTTCACAACGAGGTGAAGGAAAGCTCTGTTTTATCATCATTCGTGCATATTTATTGATTGCATGACATCCACACCCAGGATCTTATCAACTGCGAGTCTCAATAGGTTCATTACAACATGTTGTGAGATATGTACTTCTTGTCATAGAAATGAAACGCAAAGAACACGAGCAAATAAGCAAAAACAGATCGTTTACGTGATTCGATCCAACTGAATTTACGTCCACGGGAGGGAATCAATCAAATAGTTCACTAAGACAAAAGAAATGGAGAATACATAGCTTATACATAGAGATGAGCTCTCATCTTCCTTCTATGGCCCCCCTCTCAAGCGACACCTTGATACAAGGCCTCCAGATGCTCTCCTCTCTAGCTCTCTAGCTATTCTCTCATCCTTTGTGGTAGCTTAAGATCTCTTCTCTTGCTCTCCTAAGTCTCACACCCTCTCTATTTATAGAAGCAAGAGAGTGGTAGGTGGGAGGTAGGTGAGCAGTAGGTGAACGATAGGTGAACGGCAGGTGAGATGTGGTAGATGAGCGGTACCACATTACAAAAGTGTCATTTTACCTTAGTTCATTAATTGGGGGTCAAAATAACATAACACAACCTAAAATATTGCACCTATTTGATAATTCTAACTGTATGAGAGCAAGTACACTCTATGAGAAATAAATAGAATTAAGAAGAAGGGGAGATCTCTCTCTCTCTCCTCTTCCTCCTCACCACCATCAATAACAATACCCAGAAGGTCTCTTCCGTAATATATGAATTGATGGACAATAGAGAAATCTTCATCATAAAAGAATTCAATACAATGAAAAAATATATTTCAATTTTTAGAAACTAAAATACTATTATTTTTACATGATATGAAAATTTAATTTGGTCCCTCATTATTATTATTATTATTATTATTATTATTTATAGTAAATTTTATAAACATATCATAAAATTCCTATATATTTATATATCTATCGACTAAATTTTAATTATTACTAATATAAATTCCTTAGAGTTACAATTATACCTTCAAATATGTATGCATTGAATTCTTCTCTAACAGATGAACCCGTGAACCCATGCAATCTCGGAAAAATCCTGTTAGATAAGTGAAGGATGTGGAAATGAGACGAGGATTTTATGTTCTATATGTCACTTTATTTATTGTTCTCCTTCTTCCCTCTTCATACTACATACAGAGAGAAAGGAAAAGAAAAATAACAAATCGTAGGTTGTACTGTACGAGACCTATTGAGATTTATCATTGATAAGACATCGCCATGGGGCTTAGACAACTCGTAAGTGAGCATGGACAGTGATGAATTGGTGGTTGCTTCATCCTGACGTTCAAGCAACCTTGAAGGAATGGATTGTTCAACGAATTTGTCGGTGTAACTTGATAAATATAGGCAAGCTCGACGGGAGATCTTGCTTGAATACCAGCGAGTTCGGTAGAGAAATCACATGAATACCGACGAGCTCAACATAGGAACTC